CCCCAAAACCCCAAAACCCCAAAACCCCTTGGACCATGAGGTTTTTTGAAAGTTTAAATTATTTGATTTTAAAGATAAAATGGAAGCGGAAGAAGGTAATGCTATTTTTTCATTTAATAGATAAGAAAGATGATATTTTTACAGAAATTGATGAAGAAATAAAAAACTTTGGATCTATTAAGAAGGAAAAAGGAATTTTAGATATCGATTCTTACCAATTTATCAATGATTTACTGATGAAATACACTGAAATTAAAGAATATCAGGACAGAGCTGAACACCGAAAGACCAGGTATATCTTAAAACATTACAGCTTATAGACGAAGTCTTGCCGACAATAAGTAGCTCATCAATTCTATCTTTTAGGGAAGCATACAAGCAAGAAGTTGCTAGATTTATGGACGTAGAAATGAAGGTATACTGATCATCCAAACTTCTAGGCTCATGTAACTGTACTAGGCTATATCTGTAACAAATCAGATGTCTCTTCAAAGGAATATGCCTTGAGTCAGATGGTACAAGAGCCTGAATTAGCAAAACTTGACAAGATAGAGCCCAAAGGTACACTCTTTTCATTACATATCTAGTGACTCCGTTCGAAATCCCTTGTCCCAAAGTGTCAAAGGAGCATGCTCAGAAAGCTTTGAAAGAAATCGAGCGTCTTCGGATGACAAAAGAACTTGAAACCAGCATCCTAGTTAATGACGAGCATTCATCAAAACTAAAGGACTTAATGAAGCCCAAAGTTATCGAAATCCCCAACGATGAGGATGAAGGTGAAGAATCTGAGGAAGAAGAGGAGTCTGAGAGTGAAGAAGATGAGAACAAGCCTGCTAAATCAGACTTTGATAACTACTCTGTCTCCTTTGATGGTATGGTAGACAGGCTCATCTCTGATAATCTCATTCAGGATAAAGTCTACGGTAAGTACAAGACTCAAAGTATTAGAGCAATACAAGATCGAAGAAGAAGATGCTATCCGAATATTATCCCAAGCTGAAGAGGGAAATTAGAGCAGAAGGATAAAAATTGATTTGTTCAATTTGAGATAAATTGATAGGGGTTTTGGGGTTTTGGGGTTTTGGGGTTTTGGGGTTTTGGGG